ATATAAAATATTTGTGTATGAGAACTTTGTATAAAAAGATAGAAAATTAAATTAGAATAGAAAGTTGAATCGTGTGTAGTTCAAAACAAATAAAGAAATTGTTAAAAATAAATATTTTCAATTAATTTATTTTTGATGGCTAATAATATGTATAGATAAAAATACAAATGACGTTAAATTGTAAAATTTTATATAATATTAAAGTTATTACTACAATATTAAAATTATAAAATAATGTAAACAATTAGTCAGAAATCATTTATTATTTTCTATGAAGTGATGACTACAAAAGTGATAGTAAAAAAAGTATTTTCAAAAATAATAGAATCAATTCAAGTTGAAATAGTTTGAGTTTAATTAAAATAAATGTTTGGAAACTATTTAAAATTTAAAATGAATGTTATTTAAAATGTGTTATTATGTATTATGTATTATTAGTCTTAGCAGATAAAACTAAAAATGATTAGTTTTAGATAAAACATTTAGCACAATTTACACTTAGTTTCTAGAATTTCTTAGTTAATCAGAAGATATCGCCTTATAGAGTATATTGGATTTGAGTAAAAATTTGAAGCAGCTTTAAACATTTGATAGATGTTAAGGATTATCGCAATAACGTTACATATTATTTTAATTTATGGAATAAAGGCATATTAAAAATTTTAAAAATATTAAACATTTAGATATCAGACACTAAAATACTTAAAGCTTTTTCACAATCCAACAAGTTTGGGGCTGTTATAACCACGCGGTTACTAACTGACAACAGTAAAAGAACAGAAGTCTATGTGATGTGTTACATGCTTAACAATTCTATCTCTCTGAACCTAAACAAGTTATTGGAATGGATATCTTAGTTCCGTAATTATTTGTCATCAACGATGAAGTGCCACTTACTTGTCGAACCTAGTAAGTTAACTCCAAAATGGGACATTATATGGATTGCAACAACAGCAATAATCACAATATAATCTCGGTACATTTACACCTAGTATTCATATTGTGGATAAATCCAAATACTAAAAATAGTAAAATTGTATTTAATTTGAAACCATTCAAAAATCTAGCAAAAGACAGACAGAAAACTGTTACCAAATGAGCTAAAAAGTGTAGTAGTAAATAGTGATTATATTATTATTATATTATTATGTATGTAATAATATATATGTAACAGAACAACTCTAGTTAGTTAAGTTCGATTTTCACCAGACATACATCAACAGCATATAATTTTTAAGAGAATAAATGAGTCAGTACTATACCACTGACAGACAAAAGAAACAGTTCGTTTCAATTAAATTCTGAGCCGCTCGACCACAAACAACATCTTCTGAACAAAAACCATTCTACAAGAAGGTTGAAGAAGTTTTAGATTTTGGACCAACCATGTAGAATATTTATATATAATTTTAAGAAAAGGAGTATAGTAATTATAACTATATTTTATTAGTAGAATAGCTGATATATATTTAACAGATTACATATTATAATAATAGTACAAAGTATAAAGAATTTACAATACTTTAAAGTTAAAATATTCCACTGTTTTAAATATATATATATATATATAATTATCTGGAGAAGTCTATTTATCTACGTGGAACAAAAAAACTAATCATTTTGGGATAGACATAAATATGTAAAATAATCTATCTTATAACCAATTATTGTCTAACAATATATCCTATTATTGTATATAGGATATATACAGAAACTTAAGTTTTCGCAATTATTGGAAAGCTCTCTTTCGAGAGCTCTGAAGAATTATTAGTAATTATCGAAGATCACAAAATTTTTAAAGAAAATAATTTATTTAATTGTAAACAATTTTTAATTTTATAAAAATAATTTTTTTAAAGAGAACAGTAAGAGAAAAATATGAAATAACAAGAGCCTTCGGACATAGACAGCCTATGAACTTACATATAGAGCTATAAAAACTCTACGAACCTATAGCCAGTCACTCTTAAAAGTTAACAAAAAAAAATCTACCTAAAGCTAAAATCTATCTAAAGCTGTCAAAAATCGTATTATTAATTTAAAAAAAAAAATAAAGTTTAGAAATTTAATAACAAAACATGTTTATGTAAATACCATCTGTTGAATAACCACCTATCGAAAAAATGAATTACTTAATTAATTACTTAATCGTTAGCTTTTAATGTTTAACTTAAATTCTATTTATTTAATTTTTGAAACAATAAATCGATAAACATTTTTGCAATCATTGGGTTTCACACAAAAGTCATACCTTAATATATTGCTGAAGTGTAAGTAAATCGTTTATTTGCTTCATCTAACACAAATTAAGGTGGTAACCTTTTTATCAATTATTTACCAGAGTTCCTTTATTTTTCCAAGAAACTGAAGCATATTATTTTAATAAAAAAATAAATACAATGCTTTTTGTATTTGTTCTATTCAATTATATATTTTCTTGATTTACATCTGCAGTGCAACCCCATAGGAATAAAATAACGAACAATATTTATTTATGCCCCTCAAATACAAACAAAATTCTATTTTTTGTATTGGCATTTTTATGTTAAGGAAAATAAATTTCCACATAATATATTTCTAAACGCCTTTCTGAAACACACTTGAATGATGGACTGAAGTAAACGTCAATCATGCAGATAATTAATTTAATACACTTGCGGCTGTGAACATACCCAAACTTAGTCAAGTATTCGTTGTGGTAATTGCATTAATAATCGCTTTGTATTTATTTATTGAACATTTATGGCGTGTTGCGTATCTAGCAAAAATAACGTAAAAATAACGTAAAGAAAACTTTGAAGGAAACTTGCGTCAACATATTTTGATAACATGTTTAATAACACGTTTATAAAAATCAATTGAACAATTTTTAGAAGCATTGGTTATAAGATTATTTATTTTGCGTTATCTTTCTTTTGTGTTTTAGTCTTATAACAATTAAAAATACTTGATTTAATAATTAAATTTTAATGAAGTAAAAATAAATGGCGATAATAAATTATTTGAAATGTACAAGAAATTTCGACTTTAACACCTGAACACTAAACTCGTTTAAACTCATTTAATGTGTTTAAACGAAATATGCAAGTTTATGAAAATGGTATCATTTTTAAATAAGTAAAATATAAATATATATCGGATCCACGTCCATTCTTCATCATCAATATAGACAAATAATTTCTGATGTGATAAACATCATTATTCAACATTTAAATATTTACAATGAAAGTAAGCCAGGCATATATATTTAAAAATAGTTATATATACGGACTATAAACTAATTAAAAAATATCGAATATTGTCTTTTCTTTGCTAATCGAATCCGTCTAACTTTTAAATAGTTTCTTTTTGTAAGTCTCGGCAAGAAAAAATTAACATTAAAAATAGTGTTTTACGGATCACAATAATAACAGCAAAAGTAAATAGAATACACTACGAATTATCATTATTATTTTCAACGTTATAGTTACTTTTTACATAATATATATATAAAGGTTATAAGTTTTTATTGTAAACTTTTTAAACAATGTCAATAACTTTTTGATATATCTTCAAATAATTAATTTATGTTTTCTTTTATATCTTATATTCCGTTTTAAATGATTCGAAAATTATATTTTGACTAAAATCTATTTATTTTTTATTTTAATTAATTTATTTTTTTACACCAAATGTTAACTGTTTTATTTGAATCTCATATAAATTCGTATATACTGTTAAAAAGAAGGACTGATATTATTTTAAATAAATTATTGCAACACTTACATCATATTCTGATAGAAACAAAAAGAAAATGCAACAGTGGAAAGCAGAAGATCATATATCGAAGCATTTTCACTCTACAAATTTATGGCTCCTTACAAGAGGAGTCTAAAGAGTGTATTTACATTTAATATTTGCTCTCAGAAATAAATTTGTGACAATTTATGTAGTAATGCGAGAATATCTACCATAATTCTGCTATAATAGAAGCGATCACAAAGAAGATTACAAAGGATATTATAAACCACGTATAAACCCCTAACTTCATACTATGAAATGTAAATGTATACTTTATACTCCTTGCGTAAAAAACCACTACTTAAATTATAATATAATGTTGGTTTAACACGATTTAGGTTGGGTTATTGTGGTAGTCGATCTAATTAACCATTTTATTTAGTGTCTATGAGCCCGTCGTGGTACCACTAAGCACGGGGCCTATACTGAGTATAACGTAAATATAAATAATATAAGTAATTTATAAGATATCTACTTTTGTACAATTTATTACTAAACTTATTTATGCAATATGAACTGCAAGTTTATTTTACATAACTTTGAAATAGATAAGTGAAAAAAATCCAATTTAACCGACATGAAAAATACTAAAGCTAATAATTTAGTATAAATTTGAAAAATTTTGCATTATATATATTTAATAGTTTATATAATAACAGTTATTATAAAAACACTTAAAAAATTGCTTCTTAACAAAATTCAACTTAACGTTTTTTTAATCATCTATATCCGTACTTTAGATGCAACACTGTATAAAAATGAAATAAATTTTATAGAAAACTTTTGTATAAACATAGTTTATATTAAAATTAAAATAGTTAAATTTGAAAACATAAAGTTCACATTTACAATTACTTACAAGTATTTAGAATTTTTAAGTTAATTAATAATAATTGATTCGTTGCAATGATAAGGTCAATTAAAAAAAGTATTATAACAAACTTTTGGGATGCATCAGACAAAACACCAATATCGAATTCTATATGCAGTCATAGTCATAGTAGAATTTTTTACTTACGAAGCAATTATTAAATTAATTAATTTTAAAAAACAATATAGCAAGTGACCACATCAATCGAAAATAGAATATATATCCAGTTCGTTTCAAATGAACACATACTTAAAATAGTAGTATAACTAAGGATTGACTTATTAGCGATATAGGTATATGCTATCAGAAAGCTCGCTACTTTTTATATGAATTGCATACACATGCTAACCTTAGACATTATCCAAAGCTATTTGTACTTTGAATTGTTGATTGTTAACTTAATTTGTGCACCCAGTGAGTCTGTTTAATATGCTTGAGTAGCTTATCAATAAATTTTTATGACAGTTGATGACGACCGTTGCAGTTGCAGTTGCAGTTGCAGTTTCCTTCACTACTTTAGTTGTTCTTTCGTCTGACTATTATCACTCGTACTATTATCTAGTTAAGTTCAATTTTTTTTTATTTTTGCTCTTTAACTGGCAATATTTATTTATCACAATTCCTCGTTTTTATTTTTGTTTAGTGCATTTGATTATCTCACAAAAATTAAAACAATCACTTTTACATTGGTTTTATGTAATATCAAATATAAAATAAATTTTTAAAATTATTTTTGATTAAGTATATTTTGTGGCACCCAATGACAAATCCAATGTCACACTTTAATATAAACTAAATGTTATACACAATTTTTGCTTTAAGATTATTAAAAAAATACGAAAATTTGAAATTAAAAAATTATATGCTATATAAAAAATTATTTATATATATAATTATTTATTAATATATTATGTTTATTTTCGTTGAAAAAAAAAAAAAATTCGACGTAAACGAACGGACTTATAATTCACAAATGATATTATTTCAACCGGCACTCATTAAAAAATCTTGGCGACAATATTAACATTTCAAAAATAAATATTCTTCGAATTATATATTTTCAAATGAATGTGGAATGACTTTATGGCATACATAACTAAATTCAAAAATATTTTTCTTATATAAAAATATACATATACTTTTGACTTAGTTTTAGCAAATTTTTGAATAGATATATTAACACATATACGAGTATTAACACCTTTTAGCACAAATCATTTTAATTATAAATTTAATTTAAAACTTATTTTAAATTTTATATGCGACCATAGTTTTTAAGTTTATCTTAGCTTTACTAATTTGCTAATAGAACTAAGAAGAAAATATATTGAATTGTTAACGTTAAAACCAAGGCGTTACGATGTATATACAATGTCACTGTCCCACTAATAAACTTAAAAGCAAATGTACTCTGCTCAATCGTCAAACGTACTTATGAAAGTAAAAGTTGCAAAGAAACATCTATGAAACTACAATGTTATATTTACAAAAATAGCAACAACAGCAACAGCAGTAACAATAGCACTAACAATAAATAATAGCAGCCACAGCCGCAGCAATAGCAATAGCAACACAAACACAACTCAAGTAGGCATAATCGTATAATGTATGAGTCCGTCCATTAGAGCGTTCATATAAGTTTCTTTGTAATACAAAGATAATATACACATATACACCCATATATACACGGGTATAACTTATATGAAGCACAGCGAGACTATATAGTTGGTATTGCTATTAAATTTGCCGTTAGTGAGTGTTTCTCACAACAATAGTGAAATTACTACAATCGGTCGTTACGATAACCCACTACATGCAACTACAAAATAAAAATATTGCAGGGCGTATGATTAACATAAATATACACAAATTTTAACTATATCTACATTCAAAATATGCATTTGTACAAGAATAGAGTTTATATCTTTTTAACGTTTAAGCTATTTACCCTATAATTGGTATTTTTTATAATTATATGAAGATCATAAAACGAAAGTTAACATATAACCACATTTAATTTAAATATTAATAATAATTATACTATTAATTACACAAAAAACTAAAAATATAACTATCGTTTTTCTTTTATTATGAAACTTTAAATATGAAACGGGTGGGAGGATAACATAAAATATCTGGGGGTCACTTTTGACAAACGGTTCAATTGGCTTAAACATTTGAAATACAAACGGAATAGCTGCTCTAAGATTCTACATTTATTAAAGCCGCTATTTAATAATTATCACTTCAACTTTAAAAACAGAAAGTTACTTTATACGCAAGTAATTAGACCTGCACTTCTGTACGGATGTGTTACATATAGCAAAGCCTCAAATACCACCTTAAAGCAATTACAGATAGCTCAAAACCTGGCCTTAAGAAAACTGTTTAAGATTCCATGGTACATTAGATCAACGGACATACATAGAGATCTTAGGATTGACTCAGTGAAAAAATATATCAGAGACAGAGCTTTAAAATTATTCACTAAAGTTGATACGCTACTTAACCCTGCCATAACAATCCTCAAGTCCACTTCTGGACTCTCAGGAAGATATGCTGATTTAAGGTCCGTCATCAATTAAAAGACAAATAAATGATATGATTTTTTAGCCTAGTTAAAGCCTAGTGTGGGGTAGTGATAAACCCCCCAGCCATTATAGAGTAAAAGTGCGTAATAGCACTAACTCAAGAAGAAGAAGAAGAAGAAGAAGAAACTAACTATATATTATTTATTATATATATTAGCATATAAAATATATAAAAAAAATTAATAAAATAAAATAAAATAATTGAAAAATAATCACATTTCTATTAAAAAATAAAATTAAAAATTAATTATGTACATAAATAATATATTATAAAGGAAATACATAACAATAATATATAATTATATTTTATATTATAATTACTTTATATATATGTATATTATATTGATATAATATTATATTTATATTAATATTTACAAAATTAAAATTATCCACAAATAATATCAGAAATTTATTTATACTTTGAATGATGAATGAAATTATCCCATTTTATAATTAATTTATAATATCAGTCATGTTAATAATTTGTTATAAAAATTAATATATAGTTAAAATATATAACACAAACTATTAGGTGTAATTTTTTATTTAAAAAAACATTTTTTATAATTTTATGTGTTAAATAAACGACCTAAGCCCTGTAATAATCATAAAAAATAATATATAATTCGTCATCATAAAAAAATCATAAACAAAAAATAAACAATATTCAAAAATAAGTATATTTTTATAAAGAAATATAAATATTTTATTTAATAAAATATTTAGACAATATTTTATTACTTAGGTTAGGTTATATATAAAATATATATAAAATGAATATAATTAGCAAATGAGTCAGCAATTGTAGACACTAAAAATATCCCAATAACTCAATAATTTATTACTACCATTAATTTAATAATATCCATAGTTGAATAATAATAATAATGTAATGATAGCATTAATTTTATAACAACAATAATTTTATAATAACAATAATTTAATTATAACAATAATTTAATTATAACAGTCATTTAATTATAACAATAATTTAATTATAACAATCACTTAATTATAACAATAATTCAGCTATAACAATAATTTAATTATAACAATAATTGCACATTTAAATCAGAAATACTGAACAATACTTTTTACATTGTAGTAATGAAAAAATAAAATGCATAAAAGTAATCAAAAAATGATGATAAAAGCAACCAAAACATAAAATAATATTTTATATTTATTACTAAAACTAATAAAAATTGAAATGAAACGTATTCAAAATAAGAAATTGAATTAAAGGTAAATTACTTGTTGCAAACTTAAATTATTTTAGTTATGCAAATTTTTCCTTTTCTTATTTTTATTACGTTTCATTTTAATTTTTATTAGTTTTATTTTATGTTTGTTATATTGTTTTTAAATATAATTAAATATAATATAATTTTTTTTTGTTTTATCATTATTTTTTAGTTGCTAATATACGTAATTACGTATAACGTAATACCATTACCATTACGATATTAAAAATTTAAATTAAATAGTAAATTATTTAAAAATAATTAATATTTAATATGGTTTTACTAAAATAATATATAATAGAGGTTTCGAACTGTAGTGGATTACAACAACAAAAATTTTCTTAATTATGTTAATTAATTGAATTTTTGATACTTAATACTTGAAGTTCCAAAAAATTATTTACAAATAATTAAATATAAGAAATAATTCCAAACCTACTTATGATGGGTATTTAGCAATACTTGAAACAGTTGTATAGTCGGTGAAAATTTTAACTAATTAAAATAATAAAAAAATTCTTTGTTGTAGTTCACTACTGTTTTAAACCTCTCTATTAAATATAATAGTTTCTATTAAGTAAAATAGTCACCATCATCATGACTGACGTTAAAAATGTTATTTATTTACATAAAATGAAATATTAAATATGATATTAAATATTGAAAAACGAAATTGCACTCATATGTATTGTTAGCTAATAAATTTATAAAATCTTTGAAAAAATAAAAATTAATATTTCGTTAAATTATTATCATCATCATTAATAAAAACAATTTGTATATTATATTGTTATTGATAGTGTTAAAAAATATTCCACACCTAATAGATTGTCTTGTCTAAAGTATAATAATAACAAAAATGCTTTGAATTCAAATGAGAATAATCATAATAATTTTATTAATTTTAAAAATACAGTATGCAAACTGAAATAAAATACACAACACAGTCTGATTTGTTTTTATAAAATATACACAATTACTTACAGTAATTGTAATTAACCAAACTAATTCATATAAATTATTTTTATTAACATATTTTAACTAAATAAATAAATAATAATAAATAATAAATAAATAATAAATTATTTAAAAATTATATTTATTTTAAATTATATTAAATTATTATTAAACTATTCTGTTTTAACATTAAATAAAAATTAAATTCAATCATTGTGGGTTTAGCGTTTAGCATGAGTTTATATACGAGTTATGAACTATATATCACATAAAATATAGAACCATATAGATTTATGACTTTGTGCTCGATTTTAAACCTTTTGAATTAAAACAGAAACAAATTTATATCTGGTGTGCTAAATTTATTCACAAAGATTTTAATTTATTATAAATTTAGTTTAAGAAAACCTATAGTCAATATGAAGAAATCACAAGAAATATATCTGTGAAATTATTAGCTGATCAACTATGGTAACAAAGTATGAATAAATATGAATACTCCGAGTATATTTTTATTTATTTTAAAATTATTATTTAAAAATATAATACATAACATATTTATCAAAACAGGAAAACATAAACATTTTATCATATCCATTTGCCTCTTTGTTTACCAAATGAACTGTCTGAGTATTAATTAATTTTGTGAATGCACATTTTGTAAAAATGAATATATTTCAGCAAATATTCTGATGGGCTATTGTTTATGATGCAATTTAAAAACCAAATAATAATATTAATTGTATAAAAATTATAAAATAAATTTAAATTGATTTAATAGTAGTAGTAAGTTATTTTATTTACGATTATTAAATTATAACATATTAACAGAAATTTTA